CGCCCCGCCCATCCCCGCCACGCCACGCCACGCCACGCCTGACCCCATCCACGCTCCCACCTACCATTTTTATTGTTGACCGCTTGTTGCTGGCGCTCGCCGGTTATCTGTCGAGTGTTGGGCGCGTAGTGGACAGAAGTGGGCCGTGTTTTAACCCGAAATGAAAATATATGCGATCAGGATTAATACACATATTGGCGACTCGCGGTTTGAAATACGTATTAAAAAACAAAACAAGTATCTTTCGATTAGCAGCGGTTGTACTCTAGTTGAGTTGTAAATGTATGCAGGGTCATTACCTATTTTAAATACATTGTTTTTTTAAATTGCTTCTCGTGCATTGACCGTTGCATGAATCGGTGAAAAATAGCAATATTAGGATTATAAAGTAAATTTCGTGGTTGATTCTTTGATTTTGAACTAAGAGTGTGCCATTATAATACTAACTTGCATCCCAACAAATATTACTGTCTCGTGTTGAGGTATATGCGGAGAATGGACAAATTAATGCTGTAATAAAATAATGTAATACTGTGACAGTTTAATTTACAGTTTTTCAGAATATGAATAGTTTTCGTGTAATTTTCAAATAAATCACGGCAGTTCATCATAAACCTCGGAACAGGATTTTCTCAAACACTGATACTTTTTCTTTGAACTTAATGAAAGGATAGAGCGTGGTGTACTAAATTATTTGACGCAAGTACCAATTCGACTTTAATATTAAAAACTTTGAATTTTCAATAATTAAACATTTGTATTTTGCGCATGATTTACGTCATGCACTTGTAAAGTGAATGTTCGATTACCAGGATAGTCATTTTTTTGGTCGAACAGAAAATGTGCGAAAAAAAAACGTGATATTAGAGTGCGAAAATTAAATAAAAGAATTAGAAAGATAATAATTGCAAATTTTATAATAATGCGTCACCTATGCGAGTACGTGAAAGTATATGCTGATTTATCTATACTATTTTTAAGTAAATCTATATTGCTTTCATAGTCTTTAACAGTCTATTCCTGCGAGCTAAATGTACAGGCTCTGAGTGGCAACAGCTGAACGGAGTTGTGGAGTCGCTTCATAAATCGTTAATCTACGAAGAATGTATGCACGAGTTAGCAGTAACGAGTGATGGGAACATGATGGGTGGCCTTGATGTCGTTTACGTGCTATTTGTTTATTTGTGTGTTGTACCTGCGGACCTCCGCATCAAAATGCAGTGTGATCGCAACGCGACATTCAGTGAATTTGCAAATCACTTCTAAATTGACATGCATTGCAGATGAGCTGTGTGGACAAATTTTATTTGTACATTTCAATGCCAATGATTGGATCTAGTTGAAACACGACCCTACATGACAGCCTTTCAGAAAACGGTACAAAGAGAAAGAAAAATAATAAAAGAAAATTCAAGAAGTGTACAATAAAAATAATAGAATATATATGATCCGATGATATATTTGCATGGTACCAATGGCAACAATGTTATGTACAAGTAATGTAGCTTTTTAGCCGTTGATAAAAATACATGATAATAAATTGATAATCAGAAAAATCAACATTTGTGAATATAAAATATTTTTAATTTTTTCAGACATACGTGAGAAAATACATGCATTTTTTTCTTTAGTTGAACGGCAGTTTCAAAGACAATTACGGGAAATTAACGCCGTGAGACGAATTGATTTTCTAGACATGTGAGGCATAACGTACAATGACATGCGATGCACATTGGAGAAGTAAAGGTTGGAATTAAAGTCGGCTCAAAATGGATAGGAAGCAATTGGAAAGAAATAAAAGTAAAATTGAAAATAATGTCCGAAACAATGCAACCATAATAAAAATAAACTGAACATATTCCCAAATCGAAAACGAAGTTAAAGAAAACACGTAAATGTACATCAGACCTGCAAGGAAAATATAAAGCAAGATAAAGGAAACTGCAGTGAAAAAATGACAAAAAATATGCATAAAAAGGATAAAGGCTCTATTGTAATGAGAATAAATAAAAGGGATGGAGGCTGATAAAATATGAAAAACAATACTGAGAGTAGGGAAAATGGCTGAAGAGAAAGGAGGAAAAGTTACTAAAGAAAGATTGGGAAAATATGAAAGATGGAGAAGAGGGAAAAACTAAAGATACAAAAGAAGGAGAAGGGCAAGACGAAAAGGAGGAGAAGAAGAAGTGAGGAGGAGAAGAAGAAGTGAGGAGGAGGAGAAGAAGTGAGGAGGAGGAGGAGGAGAAGAAGTGAGGAGGAGGAGGAGGAGGAGAAGTGAGGAGGAGGAGAAGAAGTGAGGAGGAGGAGAAGAAGTGAGGAGGAGGAGAAGAAGTGAGGAGGAGAAGAAGTGAGGAGGAGGAGAAGAAGAAGAAGTGAGGAGGAGGAGAAGAAGAAGAAGAAGTGAGGAGGAGAAGAAGAAGAAGAAGAAGAAGAAGAAGTGAGGAGAAGAAGAAGAAGAAGAAGAAGAAGAAGAAGAAGAAGTGAGGAGAAGAAGAAGAAGAAGAAGAAGAAGAAGTGAGGAGAAGAAGAAGAAGAAGAAGAAGAAGTGAGGAGGAGGAGGAGGAGGAGAAGAAGAAGCAGAAGTGAGGAGCAGAAGAAGAAGTGAGGAGGAGCAGAAGAAGAAGTGAGGAGGAGCAGAAGAAGAAGTGAGGAGGAGGAGAAGAAGAAGAAGAAGAAGTGAGGAGGAGGAGAAGAAGAAGAAGAAGAAGTGAGGAGGAGGAGAAGAAGAAGTGAGGAGGAGAAGAAGAAGAAGTGAGGAGAAGAGGAAGAAGAGGAAGAAGAAGAAGAAGAAGAAGAAGAAGAAGAAAAGAAGAAAGGAGCAGAAAGAGGAACAACAATGCGGTGGTATCGGAGAGTGCATTGGAGCGCGTAAGCGGCGGCAGTGCGCCTCCTTACCTGGTCCTTCTCGATGAAGCCGATGAAGGCGGTTCGCTCGATCTCGATGGGCTGGCCTGCGCGGTCGTACAGCGCGATCACGAAGTGGAAGAAGTTGCTTTTGCGCAGGTTACTAGGGGGCTGCTTTTCGAAGTGGGCCCTCCCGATGCCCACGCTGCAACACAAGCACAAGCACATGCTCGTTTACTTCTTCAGGTTCACGTTAGGTTTTTAACAAAGATTTAATATAATACTCGCATACAATGCTTCCCGATATGCCTACAATGGGATACAATATTCGTTTCGTACCGACCATCAGATGACAAGGTTCCTTCTAACATTTCAGTCGTTTCAAGTAAAACGATGTTATAGGTACATCTCGCCACATAAAGTAGTGATTTTTACAAGCAGTTATTTACTCAAAGATTGCAGCAGGAGTATTTTGTACTTATAGCAGAAGTCAGATAAAACCTTATCACATTAACTCATACAATATTGAAACATTTAAAACATCTACAATATTGAACAGGGGTACATCCAGACGTTTTTTGCGGAAGGAGGGAGAGTGAAGGTAAATATTGCACAGGCGACTTAATTTCTTTCTTATATTGAATTTTTCGTAATCCTAAATATAAATGTTTTTCATTTGTTGAATTATAGTTAATATTTGGAAGACAACAATTGATATTAAATGACATTCGTTAGCATATAAATTTAGTAAAATCTATATTTTTAATACGCAATTGAACATCTTGCACACCTTGAAAAGCACACATGTGGAGGCTATAACTCGATGATTAGAGGCAAGCTACCGGAGCTAAAGTGTAAAGGTTCTGTCAGGTTCACCTAAATCCACTGTCAATTAGTAAAAACAACCTAAAGTATCTATAGATTTATTACGAGGGGCGTTGTCAAAGAACAAAATTATTTCTTGGAAACAAATAAATGAGAAAAGGATGTAATACAAATACGTCCGACAAGGGAGGACAACCCTGAAGTGATAAGACCGAGCTCCTTGCTCCCATGGCAGAGTATTGGAAGATTGGGCAGCGCGCATGTTCGTGCGATTTTTGGGACCACAGTGGGCCTAATCATCGATATGGTCCATGATGCCATGATGCTGTTGGATCCTGTGAACGCAGTGTGTCAAAACAACTTTAAAAATATCAGAGAAACTAAATTTGATTCCTTAATTGGACAAACCTGTGGCAATAATCGCAGAAAAACCCAAGCTTGCATTCGGTATCGCTTTCAGTGTTTCTCTAAAATCGGTTTGCAGTTCCTCAGAGGGCAGCGGTTTGAGTATCTATTACGAATAATAAAGGAAATGTTCAAATGGAAAAAAGAATTAGTATTAATGAAATTAAAGCTTGTTGTGTGAAATTAAAGCTCATTGCAATGAATTGGGAGATTGAAATCTGGGGGTTTGATTTCGTTACGTCGTATTTGGGAAGCTTCCTCTAGTTACTTATAAAACTAGGAACTGCAGATATAAGATTGACTTTTCACTCGGCGAATTAAAGATCTCCCTTACCAACCATTAATTTGTCTGGATCGTGAAATCCTAGATCATCTTGAAGTTTTCGACCACCTAGTCTGACGTGCGTTTCCAACATTGATCAACTACCTGCATACATTCAGTACAGATTCCAGTGTCATGATTTTCTAAAACTGATAAAACTGTCAGATCAAGAATTCTCCAGAAATCTCAAATTGAGTGCCAGCTATTGATGAATTATACTTCCAGAGATTCATTATAGTATGATGATAAAGAGTCTGATTTAATGTGGTCAATTTATTATTATTATAAGTTATTAATATTATCAATATTATTATACCAGCGACTGTCCTTAGGCATTGTTGTGTGAGGCAGTGCCCGCCTTGAATGCACCGGTACGTGCAGGGAGCTCCTCGAGTGAGGAGCGTTGACGTGCAAACATTCCTGTGCAACGGCACTTACAATGTGGCTTCGTAGAAGCGCGAAGCCATGCGTTAGACGGGGCGTGCCCACCTTGTGTTTGCGACGTCCACTGTTCTACTCCCGGGTGTTTCGCCATTGTTCCTCCGGCCACTACCGGGCGAATGTGGGCTATCTCCCCACCTTCGTGTACTCTACACCCAGTGTACACTTGTGTTCTCCGTCCCACAAAGGAAGTAGAGACCCTCAATAGGTGTGTACCGAACTCAAACCTTGATTGAAAGGGTTAAAGAAGGCCAGTAGCTGACATAAAATATCGTTTTTTTATGTTCTTCTGTATTATTTTATCCCAGTGAAGACACTATTTGGCAAAAAGGTTTGAAAATAAATCTTTTAAGTATGAAAGAATACAAATTAATCGATTTTCTAAGAGGAAATTCTCGTAAATGGGTTATTTCGTTCTCCTTGATCTTTTATTACACACGCAGAAAAGTCTTGAAGGGCAGTTGTAGTCTTTGAGAGCGCTGCAGTGTACTACGTCCAACGTTGATCGAATGAGTCCTAAAACTCCGCGATACGACGAAAACAAGTCGTCTTGAAGCTCACTTGTCATCCTGTTAAGTGCAAGCGCATCTTTTCTAGCACGAATAGGGCCGTAAAACACTCGTCGACGCTTAAACACATCCCCGGCGACTAAAGTCGAGTGCCTAATCACTTCAGCAACCACTGCTCCGGCTTCCCTCTACTCTGCACATTCTGGCGCGCATTTGTCATTTCGGCAGTTCGACATTAACCGTTCGATGCGCTCTCCGGGTAACAAATCTGTACGCGGACATGCCAGTCTCCCCACTAATTCGGGGAAAAGCATTGGAGCCGCACGGGCCGAAGAGGGGAGGGGCAGCACCGGCGATGGCTACGAGGCGGCGGCGGCGGCGGCGGCGATTCTGCTAGCGCAGACACACGGGGTCAGAGTACGCAGGACTGCGAGGTAGATGGGAAAGGGGGCACGTTACAGCCCCGAAAGTAAACTTTTTCACACTGATCGCAGTCTGGGGTGAGAGACTGGTGGGATAGGAAGAGATAAGGGTCTAGACAGCCACTGGCAGAACTGTACAAGAAAAAGACACCGAATTCGAAGAGAAACGAAAAAGAAAATATGAAATAGAAATAGTGCCAATGAATATAATGTATCAATAAATGACGGAAGCGAAGGAGAGCAAAACGTAAAAACAGGAAAAAAATGTGACTAGCACAAATACAAATTATACAGGCCTGGGGGCAGAGCGAAATGCTTAGATTTCTACAAAGTATGTTGTTTGATAAAAGTAAAAAATCTTGGAAATAACAAGCGGCTCTGAAACAAGAAATAAAGCCTCAAGAGAGTGGATATCCGGGAGTCAAAAAGTCTAGAAGGAAGTACGACTTATGTACGACAAAGCTCGGGATATCGGAGGAAGAGACGAAGGTAACGCTACAACGAGAACGGAAATGAACACTTGAGTGAGAACTGGAATGGCGACGTGACCAGAAAAAAGAATGGAACGGAGAGAAGTCGAGACAGAAAGCTGAGAAGGGCGGCGGAAGCAGGACGGGAAGTTAGGGACGAGGGTGGAACGGGTACAGGAGTGGAACGGGGACGAGGGCCGGGGAGAGATCGGGG